AAACCCCAAAACCCCAAAACCCCAAAACCCCACTCCTCTGCAGACATATTGAAAAATAAAATTTAAATTTAAGTTTTTATAATAATAAAATGGAAAGTACTACTAAAGCTATTGAAGAAGAGAACACCCAGATAATCCGGTAACTGAGAACTTAGTTTCAGAATACTTTAAATGTTCACTCTCAAATTTGTAACAAGTCCAAAAACTTTAAAGTTTAACCACAATTTTCAACTTTTATAATAATTTCATCGAAAATTTCTTGGCCGAGAAGTTCATAGCAAAACTAGAGAGAGTTTATAAGCCTTGCATCTCTTAGATTAATTTGGGGCTTCCACAGATAACATTTCTCCTAAAGCCTTAAACCTGCAATTTCTCAAAATCTAAATTAGCACCCTTTCATCTCCAACTTTCTGACGGATTCTGACACTGACCTACCTCCCCGTCCGCCTCTAATTGTGCAGCCTAGAGAAGTCTGTCCTGGCAAAAACCAAGAAGCAAGAGGTCACCACATTCCAGAGCGTCCTCTATAAGGTTCTTCCAGATGGACAAATTGAGCCATCGGATCCAGACTCCGAAAAAGTTTCAAGAAACAGTGTACTAGATATTGGGTTTGACAAAATCAGAGATAAAAAACTTTTTAAAAGTTTGAAGTGTCTTAAGCTTTTGAATATAGATTGGCTTGATTTGGCTGAGTTTGATTCTAAAAATAGGCGTTTTGTTTTAAATTTCTTGCAATCCTCATTCCCAAATAAAATTAAGGCTCTCAGTTTTTGATCCAGTGGCCAAAGATATCTAAAAAGGTTAAAATACTTAAACTCCTTGACCAGACTCACCTCCAAAGTCGTTCGACAAGTTTCCTTTGGATATTACAGCATCGGCCTGCCCCAACTCAAGAGGCTAGTGGCAGCTTGCAAGCATGTGAGAACTTTGAAATTGGCATATTGCAGGCTATCTATCCCAAGTGTTCCTGATTTGTCAAAGGCTCTGAAGAATTGCCAAATCCAGGGAATAGATTTATACAAATCAGGAGACTCGGCTAGAAGTGATTGGAAGAACAACTTCGACGAGTTCGTGAACTTGGTACAAGGGTTAGCAAGCTCTCCAGATTTAAGATTGAGTCTTGAAAAAGTAGGTGTCTCTGGCTGCAGAGTAACCCAAAATAAAGTTAAACAATTCTTTGAAGAAAACCAGCTTGGAAGAGTTAACATAATTGATGAATAAATTTTGGTTAAATTTTTTTTTACTTCTTTGGTTAAAATCCTGCTTCTTCCATATTTGGCTCCTGGTGATTTTTTAATATATTCCGGGGTTTGAATAAGCTGGGGTTTTGGGGTTTTGGGGTTTTGGGG